AATTGAGGTACATTTGAAGTTATCTTATGACCTGCCACTGCAACCAACCAACCAACCAACCAATCAAGTGCCTTCCTATGCCTAACTGCATGGTCAGATGTTTGGTATTCCGACAAATATCTATAATTAGTTATCTTTTGAAATATCAGTTGGTTTATTTGTCCATCTATAATTATGGAGTATTTCAGAATTTGAACTTTCTATAAAAGTGTCTACTTCTTAAATGACACAATCGGGCCCTTTTAACAATCTTACTGAATACGGCAATGTAAATAATGAGTAATGCAATGATGTTGACACTTTCGTTAGTTCATTAATTTGCTTCTTGTCTACTGTGCTTCCTTCATCCATTCATCTGTACTGAAAGCACTGTGAAACACTTTACCTATCTTTCATTTCTCTATATCTTTTTTTTGTGCATAAAAGGAATTTCTTATCAGTTTAAAAGTATCTACAACGGTTTTGTAAGTACAACGCCGCTTCATCATCCCTCCATACGTTTTCGATGTAAGTAAGAAAGAAGTTAATTAACTTTCTATTGTTTCAATATCTACGATTTTTCCTACAGTTCTTTGTAGGTCAATTTATATAAAATCAAAATTGCAACTCCATATATTTCAAAAACGTTTATATTTTGTATTATAGAGAATTCTAAATATTCTTTAACCAAAATAACTAATATTTATTAATTTACTTGACTTTAACAATCGCGCTTTCCAAGAATAATTTCTGTCTTTAAGCAGTTTAAGATAATACTTATGGAATGGAATGATGTAAAGCATCAATGCAGTACAATCTACTACTTACAACACATAGGAGCTTTTATTTTATGATAATAAAGAAAAGGTTTATATAGGGCTATACTTTGTCAGAATAATGTAAAAGCATATTTTATCAAAAATCGGACCGCTTCTTTTAAGCAAGAATTCGCCAGTATGTGATTTCTAGTCAATTATTGTTTCTCCTTCTCTTTTATTTTGTTAAAATGTCCTGATTACAGTCCTTCACTGAGTTCGTTAAGGTTTTATTAAACCCACAGACATAATAAAATGAAAGGTTTAATAATGTCTTCACCAGTATCCTTGATTACCATTCTAATCAATTCTCAGCATATAACAGGAAAAGATCAGCTGCAACTTGGCGGATATTCGCTCTTGTATCATCCACAGTTTTAAGATCGGTTGCATAAGCACGATTCTTTACATGACCTCAAAAAAAATTTAGTGGTTCTAAATCGTATAATCTTGATAATCAAATGATATCACTTAAATATGAATTTAACATATATACCCGGTAAGTTTCTCAAGCAACAAATCCAACACAAGACAATAAGTTCTTTTAAAAGTAGATTTAATCCCAATTGCCTACTAAGCCCATAGTAGCACCTATTAGTTGTAGTGATGTAAACCTACAGATATAGTATAAAGCACGATATGGGTATTAACGTCCTTTAAGTCGAAAAAGCATTAAATAAACCACTTAATCTTCTTCTAATGATCAAAAAAAAAAAATGTGTGCCTTCATAAGCACTACATTGTTCTGGTGTTTCGTTTGTTTTGGCAACTGATCGACATATTTAAAAATGAACTGCACGTACTCATCATTATATTCCTTCATCATATTATATTTAAATTTTATTTGACTTGGTAAATTTCTTTATTTTTAGTGTATCCACTTGATTGACCTATTTCAATTCCAACACAATACTATTAAGAAAATATACTTGAGTGATGAGGAATGGTGCGAGAGAAAGCTTATATTGTATCTTTCATTTTAATACTAATTTTAATATTGCTATCCTATATAGAAGGATATATATAGAAAACAATGTATCCGAAAAACTAGTTGTATTAATATGGAAAACAATGTACCCGTACCTAATTAAATCTAAGAATACCACCCGTCGCGATTAAAGCAAAATTAATTGAGCTAATACGAAAAATAATATGATCGTACCTAATCAATCTAAGAGCAATACCTGTCACGTTGATTTGAAAGTCGATCTATAAGTAATGCATGTGAATTTGTTGAAATAGTGCAATATGTATTAGTAAACCAAATCACAGTCTCACACCCACAGCGTAAGACTTTAACTACTAAAATCACCTCTGAGGAATAAATTAAAAAGAGACTTCCAGCAATGACCAGGAGGGCAGTGTAGGAAATTTTATTTCAGAAATTAGGGGAGCGAGTTGAGGTAAAATTGTGTCGTGCTTAGAAATCTAGGTTTGTCTAAGCCAAAAACATGGGCGTGGTGTAGGGGAAAGGGGACTAGGTGGAGGGTGTGAAGTAGTTGCGCAAATGTGTGAGATCGTGAATTTCCGTTACATTCTAAGTTCACTTTAATGGAATCAACGGCCGTAGAATTATAAAGAAATTTGAGATTTTGACCAAAAAAAAAAAAAATTGAAGGTATAGCAAAGAACTGTATAGATGTCGTAGAAGACAATCACCACAGCATAAATGTTAGAAAAGGCGAGACGCATTACTATGATATATGCAGCACTTAAAAAAGAAGCACTTCCTCACTTCCGGCGCTAATTGATATGATAATGATATGGAAGAATTTGTTTTAAAATTACCATTTCTAATCATTTTTGTGGTAGTGCTTTTGAGAACAGAAGTTTATAAAGCAAGTCACTTCTAAAGAAAAGTTGTGAAAACGTTTGAAAAGCTAGTAGTGTAATTTTAAACCAAACCATATTCAATACCAAGATAGGTAAGGATATTGACAGTATATATCACAAAAGTTTATTGAATTCGTGGTTTCAGAAAAGGAGTTATATTGCGAACCAGCTAACATATAACTGCAGTTTGAAGTAAAAAATTTTATATTTAAAAATAAATTATTTAAATTTATCTTCTCTTAGATAAAGTAAGAGTTGAATAAATACCATAATTTGTACTAAGCTGGTGTAGAAGGACATTGCAATCTATGCGCTATTGACTACTTAGTGCAAGGACAGCCAATTTCAAATAAAATATGTTGTGATTTGCAAGTTGATGAATGCATTCATTAATCTTATATACTACTCTCGCTTTTTGCATGATGTAAATATCACGGAATTCTGGAAACTATCTTTAAAATAATTTTCTAATGCATTTTCACGCATAATTACAACAATTTTGTTATAGGCAAGGCCTTGGCATAATTCTAAAGTTGTTTCGCTGTCACTTGCTTTCATACAAAGCACAATGCGTCGCTAACCAACTGAACAATAGTGCCATTAATGAAACACCCACACTATATAAAGCCAGAGCCATGCACACACATACACTTGTCGGTAAATATCCACCTGGAAATCATCAGTGTGGGCAACATTGACCACATAGTGGGTGAGTTGCCTACAGCAACTATTGTCTCTTCTATAGGTGATTTCAGAAAAATGAACTCACTAAGATTTCCTTTTTGTGAATAATCCTCACAGAAAGGGGCTAAAAGGTAGGTAAACCATTACAACAAAAATATTTATGAATAAAAAAATTAAAATTATAGACTCGTTTTATCTGTATTTAGCACAGGTAACCTCCGCACACTAAGTGCGAAAGTGTGTTTATGTGAATGTATTGATTGTAAGTGTTGCGTTTGTAGTTGTGGGCAAGAGTTGATGTAGCTGCAGTTGGAGCATTATTATGGCGTTTGTGGTGGTGAAAATATACACGAAATGGTGAATTTGCGTGTAATTATGATCGACAGTTCCGGTCTAAATGCTTACATTTTTGTGAAGGGAGCTGACGCTTTGCCAAATAAAATAAAGAAAAATTATATATAAATGTGTGCTAAATACAAATAAATAGTACAAAAATGCCAATAAAACCGTTTTAAGCAAAAAATACAAAAAATACAAAAAATAAAAAAATATTTGTGCTACTACAGCAATTACCAGAAAAAGTGCTGCTCTAACACTTATAAAAGAAAATTACAGTGTAGTAAATGCAATAGCTTTCAATGCTGCACTGCGACAAAATACAGTGCAATTTATTTTATTCTATTATTTTACTTTTTATTTTTATTTTTTGTTTTTTTTTTGTAAATCATTATGTATTAATCTTGTGGTTTTTTTGTGTAACTATATACGCAATTGTCTCCATTCATAATTTATTAGGCTCGAAATGAGTACAGAAGTAAGGTGAAATATTTATTTCGTAATGAAATAAATACAGTGAGAACTTTCCTAACGAACATCACATTTGTTTGAACATCCCTCTTAGGTGAATAATTTTTCCATTTTTCCATTTTTCCATAAATAAATTTATATTTATTATGGATTACTTCAAGTAATCAATTATAAATTACTTTTCCGAATACTAGCTGAACTTACGATTTACAAAGGCATGTATTGGGCTAAAGATTCGGAAAATATGTGTTTAGAATTGGGTCTTTCAATAACCACTATTTGGAGTTGGGATCTTAAATTGTTACACAATAATGTTATAACTTTATACAAACGGAGTGAACACGAACCCTTTGTCGCGAAAACTAGATCGGGATCTTGATGACATGTACCCACAGCTGTAATATGACATTATGCATAATTTTTATAACGAATACACTCAGCCTATAACGAGCCTACTTTTTAAATGAAGAACGGAAGAGAATTTAATATATCTGAACGTGATTGTTCTTTGTGAAATGAAATAGAAAATATTTGTCATATTATTGGTGTATGCCCCATTTTCAGAGTACATAGACGGGCACTTTCGGGCAGAAGTGTTTTTTTTTTGAAAAAATACTTCTGCCCGAGAAAGGAGTTAAAGTCGTGTTAAATAGTAATAATACTAAAAACCTGTAGAACTTTATAAATGAATAATAATGTTAGTAATACGTAGGTCACTATTTATATTTTGAGCCTTGGCGACACTGATTGTACTCAGGTGTCATCTGACCTTTCCGGACAAAAGTTTGAACATTATTAAGCATAACTTACTTTGGAGTTGTTGTCAAAAGAGCGTTACGAGTATTTGTGTTATTGCAGTGATTTATAAATTGAGTGTTCGCGATGGAATTAACGCGAGAAAATGTTCGTGCGATGATTTATCACAACTTTCGGCGTGGATTATCAGAACAAGAGTGTATTGATCAACTTACTCCCACATTCGGTGATACAAATCCATCTTTTACCACTGTGAAACACTGCTACTGGTACAATGATTTCAATCGTGGCTGCAGCTCGCTCACGCAGTTTGAACGAAGTTTACGAAATTCAGGAAGATCGTCCAAATTCAGTTGTTCAGTTGTTCTGACAGAAAACATTGATGTTCTGCAAAAACTGATACTTGTAATGCAAGATCGTCATGTGACATACTGTGAGATTGAGGCATTGATAAACTCTAGGCATTAGTTCCAACAGCATATACAAAATATTGTAGGATAAATAAACCATGAGAAAGATTTGTTCTCGTTGGATCTCATCACTCATCGTTAGACAAAATCTCAAAAAGATGCTCAATTGTAACAGGTGATAAATCATAAATCATGGATCATGGACTTAGTACGTATAAATCATGGATTTATGAATGTTTCAAGATGAACCAAAGCCTACAAAAATTGTTCACGCTCGAAGCAAACATTTGTTCTAAATAAATGGTCACTTGTTTTTTAAGGAAAACTGGTCATGTGACAGTTTCGGTCAATTCCGAATGGTATACAACAATCAAGTACCATCGGATCATTCTCAAACTCCATCAAAACAATGCGAGTGCTCACACATCTCGTCTAACAACCGACTATTTGAACATTCAAAAAATCGAATTGATGAGTTATCCGCCGTACAGCCCTGATTTGGCACCCAATGACTTCTTTTTGCTTCCAAATGTCTTGTTCCTGTCGGCGGAAAAAGCCATTGTTGTATTTGAAGACCATGTTTTGGAGGTGTCTAAAAAAGATTAGAAAAAATGCTTTGACAATTGGATCGAACGCATGCAAAAATGTATTAATCATAAAGGAGAATTCTTCAAGAAACAATGAAAATTGCTTTTCAACAAAGCACCACTTTTTTATGTCAATCTGATACACAAGAAATATGTTATTGTCAATTTAGATTTTAAGCAAAATTCTTTAATATTTTGTGAGTACTGTACGAATTTTTTTGAACTTATAATAAATTATTAAAGAAAACTCAACGCCTGACTGAACTCCACTGTTAGACGAAAACGCATGTTCATTTAAGCGATCTTTCACTGTACTTTGATCATTTTAGTATAATTTTTTATTTAACATATTTTAGCATTGTTTACTTTTTACATCGCCAGAACTTATTTAAAACTATCCGGAAGTACATAACAATTATCATTCCCCGCTAAACAACTATTCCCATAGTTTTCAGCAAATGCGATTCATTTTTATTAACGCACACTCACTCGTATTATTTATAGATGTCAAAAATATTTTCGATGTTTTGAGGTGTATTATCATATATTTATATGCCATATTTATATTATAAAATAATTTATACTGCAAAAAACAAAGAAAATAAATTGAAAAACTTTAAAAGCATTTTAGTGTTTTTGAATTAAATAAGGAAATAAATCTACATCCCTATATAAAAGTAGGATGTTGGCAAAGTTTCCACCCGAATATAAAGCAGGTGCCTTACAACGTAAACTCATTATTTGATTTTAGTGGCATATAGATACGTTGTTACGTTGTTAGGATTCAGCGTTACCGACTGGGCTACTCTGTTAGGTTAGGAATCAACGTTACCGATAGTACTACGTTGCTAGGAATCAAAATCTACTTTAGAAATTTAGTAATTACCTTCCTATATGTTTCCTGTTGAAACATATAGGAAGGTATCCTGGCCTGTGCTCAAGTACCCATGCACTTGCTGCGATGCGCACTGTTCTGCTGTGACCAAGTCAATAAAAGCTTTCATCAAATAATTTCATCAATATAAAAAAAAATATTTTAGAACTATTGAATAATGCAGCTGCACTAGAAATTTTCAAGAGAATAGTTCTTCCTAAGACCTCTAGATATTTACGAGTTGACGACTGTCACTTGTGAATGCACCACGTCATAAAGCTTATACAGCTTCGCTGGCTTGGCCATGTCGTAAGAATAGATGATAATGCTTTAGCGAAAATGGTGTCTGAAGCGGCAATTGGCGAGAGAAGGCATATAAGTAAACCGTGTTTACACTATCTACGTTTGATGTTCGAAACTGGAGAGCACGTAGCCCGTGTACGTAGGGATCTGGATAGAAAGGTTACGTCAGGCCAAAACTTGATAACGGGTTGTAATCTAGTGATTAAGTAAGTAATTATTCAACCCCTAAAGGATACATAACGAAGTTTATACATATAACCAATAGACTACAAAACCGACTATGAACGCAAAACTTAACTGAAGATATTAAAAATTTTCAAAATTTTAGCCATCTTAGCTGAGATTGAGCAAAACCTGATTGAGCCTAACACTTATAACACGTAAAACAGGAGGAAAAGTGGAAGAGTGGAGTGGAAGAGTGGAGTGGAAGAGTGGAGTGGAAGAGTGGAGTGGAAGAGTGGAGTGGAAGAGTGGAGTGGAGTAAATGGGTTAGATATGATATATATGAGTATATATCTAGTAAGAATAACTTTCAAGATTAGAAAAATCTTTCTCTATTTCATATAAGTTGTTGAAAGTAAAGTGCTTTTAATGCACTGAACACAAAAACAATCTATACCGCACGTACGACTACATAGAGTTTTTATGAGACCCATACTTGTGACATTTTATATTTTGAATCATAATAGTAAATCATTCATTTTTTTAAAATAAGTAACTATAGTTTCAGGAGGTATCCATCTAAATATAGACAATAAATATTGCTTAAGAAGTCTCATATTAATTAAAATATGTTACTAAATGACATTTAAAAATTTTTTTAAAGAGCTGTTATTATCTAATATTTTATAAAAAAAAATTAAAATATTCTTTGCTAGCAATTTTTTATATTTAAGTCAAAAATACAATAAGATTTGTCACAAAGCGATTCATTAAAATATTATGACAATAATTAATAACACCAAGACTGCCAGAATTTTCTTCCAGTGAATGGTTATAAAGTCCTCATAAGGGCCGACCGCGGGTTCCAATTCAATAACGCCATCCTCAAAGGGTTCGCGGTCCTTATGAAGAAAGAGAATTATTACCATTTATCCTTATATAATAATCTTATACATTAAATAAAGTTTTACTTACATCAGACTTGCGTCCATCTTGAGGATAATTCCGACCTAGAAAAAAAATTAAGTCTTATTCATTAGTTTTCTCGAATAACTTAAGTCTATGAAGCTTACCATTGCGCGGCATTCCGATAAGTAATTTGGTTAAGGAATTATTTTATAAAATAAATATTCTGATTTTGAAACGGATCTTTAAAAAAGATCCTAAATAATGTCTATAATAAAATATAGGTAAATCCTAATGAGATTTTAAAAACTAAAAAAAAATTTTAATATATAATTTGATAGAAAAATTTTTATTTTCCTGTAAAATTTTTCTACCTAACTCTGGTTACTAGACAATAAATATTTTGTAAGTTGTTAATATCATTTTTAAAGAAAGTGAAATATTATATTCCATATAAGAGGCAGTAGGTAATAACAGGAATTAACAAGCATTTCTAAAAAGTAAGAATATGCAAATGTAATTCATCGTCTATTATAATTCTTATTAAAGTATTAATATTAAATTTTGTTATTGTGTCATTATTCTTTCTTAGTTCTTAGCCCTGTTTTTTTTTGCAATATGTGGAAAGCATCAAAAGCCACAGTATTAGACTTGAACCGACTAAAATTACTTCTTTAAAATAAATGGAAAACATTTTCACAGCAATGTGGAAACTTCATTTCAGTAATCAGTGAGAGAGTTCTGAACAAGACGCTTAATATCTATTGGACTAGGTTTATCTAAGCCTAAAAGCATGATCGTTGTGCCGGTAACCCTACTAGCCCCAGTTTATTTTAACGCATTCGACATTTTCATTTTAAATGAACTGATTTATTGATAATGAGCTTATTTATATGAAAGCTCTTTGTATGGTTAATCATCCTCATTAGTGGCTACAATGAGGCAAACAACCTAAATGAGACAGTGTGAATGTGCTATAAATAGAAGTTTCTTTATTTCATTTATTCAAAGACTTTGACTTCTGGAAAACGTTCTTTTACATATAATTGGAAATAAATAAGAACTAAATTATTTTGAATTATATCTGTTTTAAAATAACGAAATTTGCACTTTCGGTTTACAATTTATGGCTATTGATGATCCAAAAAGAGATCACTTGGTTCAAAATTCTAAACCCCACTCTGCATATTATATGAAAGGCGTCTATAGATGCTGCATATTTACTGGCAATCAAAGCTTCTATAACATATTGAGAAGGGAAAAATCACTTTTGATTTCATAGAATTTTTAGCTGCCAGTTTCTTTAAGTGTCCTTTATGAGAGATATTGGTATATATTTATGTGTACTTATTCTTGGCTGTTCTAATTATCATAGTTGTCTTGAATTTAACTTTGCTTAAATAAATAAAAATAAATTGAGATGATAAATTAGAGAATACTTAAAGTTTCGTCTGTCGACTGCTTGATGAGTACATGACATTAAATTTTTTGTATTTAAATGTAAATTAACAATATTATTTAAATCTAACTTCTTTTTTCAATATTATTGCATGCAAAAAAAAAAAAATTAATAATCTGTACAACTTTCTATAAAGTTTGTTATCCTGGACCATTCTTTTACTAATTTATTTGTAGTGCAAATTATCTCTTAATTAAATATTTATGATTTATTCAAATCCAGTCTTAGAATTTTTTTTTGAATCCGAGCAGCGGTCCATAAATTCCTTAATATTCTCAATCTGACCAATGTTGCACAATACTACCGCACTGCAGTCGGCAATGCTAACCTCCTTAAACCATTTTACATTTAGCTTGAGTCAATCACTTCTTGCTTTGGAAATCCACACTATGTCATTTAGCTCATTTGTATTTACTATGTCAACTTTTCCCAATGCAGATGTAAAACTTTTGCATATGCGATTTGTCTGTTAAATATGTGTTTTATATATCTCCTTCTACCATTTTTTTAATGCTATTATCAGGTGTTCACTATTCTCATTTTAGACCTAACCCTGATGCTTCATTTACTGCCACTCGATATCGATTAGTAAATAAATGGCAGCATTATCTGCTCCTAAACTCCAAGCTACTTCACAATGGAGCCTCAGTGACTGTGAACATGCCACCGTCCTTAAATTTTACAGTTCTACTGCGGACAAAAATCACCACCTCTCCCCCAATCTCAATTTTGTCAGTTAATTTGGTGTCATAATTCTGCCCAGATAT